TTCTTTCACATAGCTTACTTCTCATACTGGTTTCAGGAAACTGTTTGTGGCCGATGCTGTTTTGTTATTTTTGTGAGCACATGACTCATGTCCTTTTGTGTTCCTTCCTTCGTTGAGTTTTAAACAAACTTAGAGAAAAAAACTAAAAGATTCAATTTGCATAGCAATCGGAGCACAGAAAAAAGGGACTGCATACTGACAAGATCATAATAACTCCTAAATTTGTAGTCCAAATGAGCTCAAGATAATCAAAGTATTTTGTGAATTATGTATATAGATAGTTATCTTTTCAAGTTGAAATTTGCAGAGTGAGGTAGTTGTATGAACCTTTCCAGGAGAAGCCCACATTAATCATACATTTTTCTTGGGGCTCAGCTTTGATGTCTTGGTTAGCATCCTGTACAAATTCAGTGTAAATGCATGAGGTCGATATATGTTACAAAAAGCCTATTCATACTATAGCTGAAATAATCAAAGATTAACCAATACTGTTTTACAGAGAACAAAATACCTCTTGCCAAAATAGACATTTTATAATTTAGTTCTGCACTTAGTGCCTATAAGATACTATATATGCTATGTTATGGTATTGAGTTTGAAATCTGGGCTATGGAATAAGGAAATGTAAATAATTTTTTAAAAAATAGGAACTCGATCACATTATGAGAAAAAAATTTAACACTATTATTTTATCTGATTAAAAATTATAACTTGAAAATGATAATGACACTTCAGAAATGCTGTGCCACCCATGAAAAGAGTAGGGAAGGAAGACAAAAGTAGTTTTCAATCCACTCTGTCATTTATTTGTGTGGGTGGACAAGTTAACTTTATTTAGTTTCAATTTTACTATTGAAAAAAAACAGAATAGTAATCATCTTGTAAAATTGATTTGATTATTTCATGATATGAAGCTTAAAGTTCCAGAAAGTAGCATGGGTGTTACCTGCATTGTTACAAATAAAGACTCAGTTCCATCTAGACAAGTGAGTCACAATCTGTGTTTTAATAAAACGCATAAAGATTAATTTATGTGTTAGTGCTAGAAACATTGTCTATTCTATACAGTGCCTCATATCAGCTTGTGTTTAAAGTAGCTTTTTTTTTTTAAATTAAACTTTTATCTATGAATCTACCTCTTTTTGCATTTAAGCAAAAATAGCCAACAACCGTAACCATAAAATGTGGCATTGGCATATTTTTCATTTGGCTGTATTTCTGGTAGTTCTTCCAAACAGAATGTATGTTTGAGATTCCTTCCTCTTTTTCACTAGTTATGCTTAGTTATTGAAACAGGATGTTAAAAGTGAGTTCAGGACAAAATGTGCAGGAAATTTCAAAGACAGATCAATATACAGAATTCACCAGTTTCACAACTCTTTGACCCTTTACCAGTGGAAGTTATACTGCCTCAGGATGCTGGACCAAAGACTCTTTCAGTGAGCACTGCTTTTGAGCTATAGTCCTGTGAAGGGTGGATCCCTGCACCTCCTCATCAGACACAATCACGAGGAAATTTCTACAAACAGTCGAGAAGCTTAGCATGTGACTCCTACACTGAAGAATTCTGTGATCTTAATTCTTACCAGCAATATTTAGAGTAGGAAACAGTGCTAGCTACTGTGTTGGTGGTGGATCCACTAAAGGGAATGTTGAGATTCCCTAAATCTCTATAGTTTTCTGGGATAAAAGATGTTTACGTGTTTGCCTTGGACCCAGTGTTTTGCTGAAAAATATATTCTTCCAATCACACACACACACCCCAAAACAACAACAGAAAAAGAGAAACAAAGCAAAATTAGTTCTTCCCCTATTCACAAATTATAGCACTTTCCAACTTCTATGGGATAGATAAAGCTATTATGACCTTAGGAAGCTACAGCTTTTCATCACTGATGTTCAATATGGAATTGGGAGGCATGAGGACAGTCTGCCTCAGGAACTCCTCCGAACTGGTCATGAAATAACACTGTGTGGAGAGAAATTAAAAGAAATAGAAACTTACAAAGAACATGATACTTGACTGGTGAGATAAAGAATTTATAAACAGTGGCTTGAAATACAAGTATTCCTCACTAGAGAAAAGAAACTACAGGGTAAGCAGTTAATTCTTTTTTTAAGTTTTCTTTTAAAGAGGCTAAAACCAAGGAAAATAAAACAGAATAAGACTAATCAAAACAAACCAGTGTAAGTGATACAGGACTTCGAAACAATATGAAATTAGTGGTTACCATTATGCTTCTTATTGTCTTCAAAATAGCTGCAGATACCATCAGGCATAGTAAAAATCAAATAGAAGAGAACAGAATTGAATCAATAAAAACAAAACAAATGCCTTAAAGGACTTCAAAGCAAGACAGTTGTAAATCCAAAATGGCTACCATGATATATCTTGCTATCTTTGAAAAAACTGCTTATGCCATCGGATATAACTAAATCAAACAAAACAAAACAGCACAAAACCCAACCAACAAAACAAAACAATATAGGACTTCAAAACAAAACAATAAGAGTCAACAGTGGCTATCACCCTCAGAAGAAGATGCCCCTAGATGCCACACTGCGTACTGTTATCCTCTGAACCTATGATCAGACCACTGGCCCTAGACCTGCAAGATCAGTGAAACACCAAAACTCTTCAAGCATCAAATTGCATTTCACCTCAATAGCTATGGTTGCAGCCTGTGTTTCTCTGGATCAGCTGGTCACTTATGAGGGTGGGAGTGGGGGGCAGGGATTGGTTGTTTCTTGTGTGCCAGCCTGCACCCCTAAAGGGGCTGGAGTCTGGCTGTCCCCCTGCTGGCAGCAGCCCGTGCATGGTGATGTTTCGCAGGGAGGGCTTGCTTCTTGTGAATCCTTGTTCTCTTCTCCCCACAGTCTGTGAATGGCACTGACTCAGAGGGAAAGGCTTGGATCTGGCTGTGCCCTGCTGGTGGTGGCCTGCGCATGGTGCTGGTTTAAGCAATCAATTCCTTGGAGACTTCATTAAAGTGATTTTAAAAAAATAAGTTGGTGCATATTGTCCAGAATAATGGGCTTTATATTTGTACATGTATTTAAATCTGCTGGTTGACCCAGAGAACTTCAAGCATGCTAACAGTGGTGCCCAAAGTAATCTTACTATTCTTTCTTTACTATGAACCTTAGGAAGGACCAAAACCAGGCCAACCAACTAAGGGAAGGAAGATTTTATGTTAAATCAAAATTTACACTTAGTATGATGGATTAGATATTTTAATTACTAAGCTGAGGTTGTGTTTGTCGTACAGTGATCATAAGAGTCTTTATTACCCACAGATGAGCCCTTGAGTACTCAACTGGTGCTATGGGGAACTTACAGGAATTAAAATAATGTGTTTCAATCAAATCGTGAATCGTGCTAAGCCAGTACGGTAGTTACAGATGTACGAGTTCAAGCTTCTAGCCAAGGCTTTACCTACAGGTCAAACTTCATGCAACACTGGATAGTTTCTTACACTGCCTCATGCTTTTTTTGGGGTATAAGATACAGTAAATATATAATACGCTTTTGTGAATCTTAATATTTTTCTTATTCTTATGTGAATGTTCTTTTAAGATTAAGGATTATTTCTCCTACCTCTGTATAACTTCCCCTTTTCCAGCAAAACATTCTCACCTCATTGCCTGGTAGAGGACTTAGGTAGCAACTGCTGGTTTAAAAAAGGTGTTACATTTTACTTTCAGTAACCTTTTGATGTGAAAGCAGACATGAGTCAGAACATACGGCAGAAGAGGAGATATACTGTATAAATTTCTTATTTAACTAATCTCTTATTTAACTAATTCTAGCTGACTTAGCTCTTTAATATACAGCTTATTATAGGAAAAAGGTCTTAAAAACCTGTTTTCATGTTGTATTCTTGAAAATGACATAGAAATGACTTGAAATGTCAGGGATTTAACTCAGAAGCACAAGCTGCTGCTTGGCAAGTGTGAGGTCATGAGTTTTATCTCCAGCACCAAAAAGAAAAAAAAAAAAAAACAAAACTCCCTGGACATGGCCACTGAACATAATGTAGAAATTAGTATATTTTAGGTTCATAAATTAGTACATTTTGGATTCAGTTCTTTCAGTTGCATTCTAATCATATCATATTCTTCAAATAAGCAAGAAAATTTCAGGACATTCATGGTAGAAACTAAAGTTTGCAGCATAAAGACCACACTATACAAACGCCTCCAATATATTTAATAATTTTTTATTTTAGAGATTTAATATTATTTGATTAAAATTATTTTCCATTTTATGTTTTATTGTGTTACAAAATCCTAATAAAAAGTCTTAGGATGTCGAGGATTTAGCTCAGTGGCATAAGCACCTGCCTGGTAAGCACAAGGTCGAGAGTTCAATCCCCGGTGCCAAAAAAAAAAGTCTTAGGGTTTCTTAAAAGTATGATGGACTGACTTGCTTTCACCATAGTACTAAGAACTGCTCTGCGCCTCCCCTTCCTATGGGATAGGTGTTTAGAATGTTAATAATGTCTCACCTCTCCCACGATAGGACACTGGAAAGAAAATAAAATATATTTAATAACTGCCATTGGAATTCTTCTAAGAACGGGAGTGGAAAATATCACTTTAAGAGGCTATTGCATCAGAAGTTACCTCCAAAACCTTTGATATTGGCTGGTACCTAAGATTCCAGGAAAAAGTCAGACAGTAACCACATTTAAGGGACTATCTAAGAATTTGTTACTTCCTCAGAAGAAGAAGGGAGACAAAGGAACTGATGGAATAAAGCATGGGAGGAAGAGTCAGCAAGATGAAAAGAATGTACGCTGCATAAAGTGCGGGGCCAGGAGCCGCTCGTGGTGGAGAAGACCCGGAGGGGATCTGAAGATGAATGATACTTGTTATTTAATGTTGAGTTGACATTGTGGCCTGAATACAAACTTATTTTCTGTCTTCATTCCAAAAATCATTTAGCAAAATGTATCATGCCCTCAAATGTGGATTCTATTTGCTTTGTTCTTTTGTAGATATCAAAGAAGATGGATTTGAAGTTTGGGTTGAAACATGAGAGATGACAAAATGGCATTGTAGAATGAGAAGACACGAAAACAAGGATCTTCATTTCCCCTGCCATGTCTAATGAATTGTAGAGAACCCGGGGAAGATTTCGTACTTTCAAATCCATGTGTGGAGTGAAGAGGTAATTTCAATTAGTAGGGTGTTATGTAACTGGCATTGGAGGGGCAGAAAGATCATCGGAAATTGTTTGCATCTAGATTTTGTTTCTGTTTTGATAGTTCTCCCTTTTGAAGAAAACACCCAGCAGATTTTAAAAATTAAATCTCATATATATATTACCCTACTCATTCTCTTAAATATCCTTAAAGTCAAAGAATTAGGATTTGGGATATAATTTTCTTGGGAATAGTGGAGTCCAAATAACATCTTGATTCATTAACTTGAATGGGAAGTTTTTGAACCGCGATTTAATGGCAATGAGTAATTGTAATCAGCTGTTCCTATGAGCAAGCCTGGCGAAGAGCCTGACATCTGGATCAGCGTTGTTAAACATCGGTACCCTTACACATTCAAAATTAGGAACCGATGAGCCAGAGAAATCCAGCCTGGTTGTGCACATCCTACAATAATAACATATTGGGGGAATATACAAATAAATTATTCACGGTGAAGAAAAAGGTGCAGACAAGCATGGCTTCTTTGGGGACGTTGTTTAGGCTCAAACCGAGGACCTCATGAAAACGTGCGAGGCAAGTGCTCTACCACTAAGCCTCCTCTCTAAGCAAAGAGGCAGGCTTTAAAATAAATGAGCTATGTTGTAGTTTAAAGCTAAAAATGACAGTTACGAATTACATCTGCTTTTCCGTTGTCCTTAGGGGGAGGTCAGAGGTCCATATATCACTTTGACATAGTCTCTATCATCCTGTAGAAGAAAGAAGCTAATTCGATGCATGGGAGGATAATAGGGTCTCAGATATGAGTGAATGTGCTTATGAAGAAATAATAAGTTGAATGCTACAGAGGGAAAAAGAAAATCTCAACTTAAAAATTATTGTAAAAAATTCTAAACTTTCCTTTTATTATTTTATTTATTTATTTTTAAATGTTTTTGGTACCAGGGATTGAGCTCATGACTTTGCACTTACCAGGCAGGCACTTATGATGCTGTGTTAAACATCCAGCCCTCTTTTTATGTTTTTTTTTTTAACAAAACAATAAAAACAACATATAAAATTTCAAAACAAGATTTGTAGGAGAGTAACAATGGTTAGTACATTGCATATCATTATCTTCAAAGTAGGTGCTCATAAGACAGACATGAAAAATTGATCAAACAATATAGGCACAAGTCTTTCCTTTCAATGAATGATAGTGCTTAATAGTATAACTATCTTAACTATTTTGTGTGCATATATATGTAAGTATATATACTTTTTTCCTTTTGGTTCCTTCTTTTCTCCTTTTCTCCATGCCAGTTTCTCTTTCCTTTTGAACAGTTTCTTCCGAGTTCACAATATCTTTGTACTTTTTGAGTCTTATTTACTTTTTCAGCTTCTTACACTGGGAAGACAGTACAATGTTTATACATGTGAGTCTGATTTATTTCACTTAGTAAGTATGGTATCAAGCTGCATCCATTTACCTATAAAGGTCTCAAGTTTATCCATCTTTATGGCTGACTAGTACTCCACTGTACAAAAATACATCTTTTTTTTTATCCATTCCTTGGTTAATGGGCATTTGGGTTGTTTCCAAGATTTAGCTATTACAAATTGTGCTGCTATAAACACGAGTGTACATATATTGCTGTGTTATGATGTTTTTAACTCTTCTAGAAAAATACCCAGAAGGAGAATAACTCGGTTGAATGGGACTTGTACTCCTAGTTTTTGGAGTTTCTCCAGCCTGATTTTCATAGCTGTTACACCAATATACATGCCCAGTAACAGTGGAGAAGGGTTCCTTTTTCCCCAAAGCCCTTCTATCTTTTATTATTGGTTGATTTCTTGATGATAGCCATTCTTATGGGGTGAGATGGAATCTGTGTTTAGGTTGTTTATTGAATGACCAATGATGTTGACCACTTTTTTATACATTTATTTGCTATTTGTGTTTCTTCATTTGAGAAGTGTTTATCTCAGCCACCCACTTATGGATTGGGTCTTTTGATTTGAAGGATCTATCTTTTGGGATCTATTTTTTTTCAGTTGTTCATATGTTCTCAATGTAAGTTCTTTGTCTGAAGGACAGTTGGCTAAAATTTTTTTCCACATTGAGGGTTGTCTTTTACTCTGTTGGTGATTTCTCTGATGTGCAAATGCTTTTTAATAAGATGAAATCCCAGTTGTTGGTTCTTTGAGGTATTTCTTGTGCAGCTTGAATTTTGTTCATGAAGTTTCTGCCTACACCTATGTCTTCAAGAGTTTTACCTACTTTCTCTTCCATTAGAGTTAGAATTTCTGTTTTAATGCTTAGATCTTTGATCCATTTTAACTTTAGTTTAGTGCATGGTGGTAGACATGGGTCTAGTTCTTTTGGCATGTGGAAAGCCAGTTTTTCTAGCACCATTTACTACAGAGGCAATCTTTCTTTCAGTGAACATGTTTGGCTCCTTTTTAAAATACGGCTGAGTGTGTTTGTAATGATGTCTGCATCTTCTAAACTATTCCACTGCTCAGGTGTGTGTGTGTGTGTGTGTGTGTGTGTGTGTGTGTGTGTGCCAGTACCATGCTGATTTTATCACTGTAGCTTTGTAGTGTAGTTTCAAGTCAGGGTTTGTGATGCCTCCTGCCTTGCCTCCAATCTTGCCCAAGATTGTCTTTGCTATTCTAGGTCTCTTCTGGTTCCAGATGAATTTTAGAAGTGTTTTCTCTATTTCTGAGAGGTATGTTAATGGTGTTTTGATTGGGATTGCATTAAATCTGTATAACAATTTTGAGAATATAGCCATTTCACTATGTTGGTATTTCTTACCCATGAGCAAGGGACACTTTTCCATTTTCTGTTGTGCTTTTCAATCTCTTTTTTCAAAGTACTATAATTTTCAATAAATAGATCCTTTACTTCGTTAGATTGATTCCTAAGTATTTCAATTTTTTTGGATGCTAGTATGAAGTTGTGATTTCCCTAACTTTTGTTTCAGTAAATTTGTTGTTTGTAAGGAATGTTATTGATTTCTGAGTGATGATTTATATCCAGCTATGCTACTGAATTTGGGTATGAACTCTAGGAATCTTTGGTACAGTTTTTGGGGTCTTCTATGTAAAATATCATGTCATCTGCAAATAATGTAAATTTAACTTCTTTATTTCCTAGCCTTATTCCTTTTATTTATCTCTCTTGTCTAATTGTTTTGGCTGTTTTCAGAATTGTAATGAATAGGAGTAGTGTTAGTAGACATCTACATCTTATTTCTGGATTTAGGGTGAAAACTTTCAGATTTTGTCCATTTAGTGTGGTGTTGGCTTTTGGTTTGTTATTGATGACTTTTATCAGGTTGAGGTAAATTCTGATTTTCTGATGAGTTTTTTTAAATCATGACTGGGTTTTGGACTTTATCAAAAGCTTTTTCTGCATCTATTGAAATCATCATCTGAATTTTGTCTTTGACTCTGTTGATAAGATGTATTGCATTTATATATTCCTTCAAAGAACCAGTTCTTTGATTCAATAATTTTTTGTATTGTTTTCTTGGTCTTCACAGTATCAATTTTCCCCTGGTCTTTATAATTTCTTCCTTTGTATGGGTTTTAGGTTTGTCTTGCTCTTTTTTTTCCCTAGAAAGTTGCAGTGTAGCATTGTTTATTTATGTCCCTTCTGTTTTCCTGATGTGAGAATTCACTGCTATAAATTTCCTTTTTAAGAGTGCTTTCATTGTATCCCATAAGTTCCAATACACTGTGTCTGCATTCTCTTTAATTATAGATATTGTTTAATTTCTTCTTTTATTTCATCTGTCACCCATTGGTGGTTTAGGAGGGTGTTATTTAATTTACATGTGTTTATGGAGTTTTTGCCATTTTTTTGCCATTAATTTATGATTTGATTGCACTCTGGTAGGATAATATGAATTGGATAATTCCAATTTCTCTGCATTTACTTATTCACATTTTGTGGGATAATATATGGCCTTTTGGAGAATGTTCCACCTGCAGTTGAGAAGAATGTGTACTCTGATGATGTTGGGTGGAATACTCTGAAAATACCTACTAATTTGATTTGTTCACAGGTTTGGTTCAGTTCTGATATTTCTTTGCTAATTTTTGTATAGTTGATCTATCTCTTTGTGACAATGGGGTATTGAGGTCTTCTGTTACAACTGTATTACTGCTTATTTCATTTTTCATGTCTATTAATATTTGTCTTATATAATTGGGTGCTCACATACTTGGTGTGTACATATTTATGATTGTTATTTCTTTCTCTTGAAGTTTTATCCTAACATGCATATAGTAACCTTCTTTACCTCTTTTGATCATTCTTGGCTTGAAGTTCACATTGTCTGCAAACAGAATAGCTATCCCTGCTTTTTTCTGGGTTCCTATTGTCCGGAAAATTGTTTTCCATCTTTCGCCTTTCAGTCTATGAATTTCTTTTTGAGTTACATGTGTTTCTTGTATACAAAATATTGTTGGATGTTGTTTCTTGATGCAGTCTATCAGCCTGTTTATTTTTATTGGTGAATCAGGTCATTTCCATTGATAATTATAACTGAAATGTACTAGCTTATTTTTTCATGGTATTTTCCTGCTGATGGTTCCTTGCTTTTCCTTTCTGTTTAATTGCTTGCCCTGCCTGGTGTTTTTTTCTGTTGTTCTGTAATTGTTTTTATTTTTATCTCTGTGTGGAATATCTTTCGCTACTCTTTATAGGAATGGTCATACATTTTTTTCAGTTGTTCTTTGTCATGTAACTAATTTCTCCTTTAATTTTGAAAGATAATTTTGCAGGGTATAGCAATATGGGTTGGAAGTTGCCTTCTTTCAGGACTTTGAAATACTTCATTCCAAACTGCTTGACTTGAAGTTTTATGTTCAGAAGTCTTCTGTGATTCTGATGGGCTTTCCTTTATAGGTGATCTGTTTCCTTTCTCTAACAGCTTTTAGTATTCTATTCTTGTGCTGAATTTCTTGAATCTAGGCTATTATACGTCTTGGTGCAGTTTTATTTTGCTCATAGCTC